ACCACATGCTAGGATTGATTGGTGAATATGTTATATTCAAAGAAACATCACACACCAAGAAGTTGTGAACATATTATGCTCAGAAGATCACAACCTGCCAAAAAAGATTTATACTTGATTGATGAATTTTCTGATGATGTTTCAATAATCAAAATATGATTACACTGCAAGAATAGAAGTTACATACTTAGGCATTGGCTCAAAATTTTATTTATTAAAGAAATTCAATAGTGTTCATAGGCATCTTGCTACATACAACACTATCTTCATAATTCACGACAAGAAGGCTATATCATTAGTATAGTTTCCAAAGGTACATGTCCATGGATATCATCAAGGTACCTCAATTATATAATTTATATTTTTTCAAGTATTTGATTAATAAATTAGTGCAGTCCATGGAGTAATAAAATTAGCCAATTATGACATTTATTTATAGAGATGCATTACGTAAGTGATCATGATTTGTTTTGAGAAAAAGCATGTACTCAAGAGCTGTGACTATCAAGAAAATGGAGAAAAAAATTGCATGAACACTAGGAAAATGACATAAGAGTGTTTATATAGTTATTTGACATTTATTTACATTTATAATTGCATATAGAGACATATATCTCCTAGTCCAAAGATAAAATTCTCTATTCTTAATTATTTTTCTCACACCATCCATATCTTATGTAGGACAACCTCATCAATTGTCACCCCCCTTCAATGGTTAGTATTCACCAAATTTTTTGCTTGATAAGGCATTCCAATTAATGTCGCTTTCACCCCTTCAATGGTTGTTACTTATCCATCCAAAAAATTAATCCCTCAATATGGCACTGAACAAGAAAAAATAAATATTTTTCGAGCAATCCACCAGCTAGTTTTTTAACATGGGTTTTTATATTGGCTACATGAAGGAATAATGAATGATGATTTTGAACTATTTCTTTATTTTAGTTCTATAAAGAAGAATATATTAGAAGATAAAAATAATTAGTAGTGAATAGAAACATGTGTTTTTTATCCACAAAACTTCAAAATCAATAACATATTTGATCTGAATCTTATTTAAAATTTTCATAGATTAAAAAAAAAAAAAGCGAAAATAAACTTACATGATAAAAATATGAGAAAATTGAGCTTCCTTAAATCATGACATCTTCCAACTAGAGATTAATTTTTGATATGCCAACCTAAAAGATAGAATCATTTTTATATGGTACACCAATCAATTAACATTAAGGTTGGGACATCATAATGCTTTAATCCATCCATAGTATACATTACAACCTTTACCATAACTTTTATTTTACTCTATGACTTCATCATATTAATGTAGTAATTTTCTTTTAATGCCCATTTGAATTATAGATGCTCCCACTTAATTACAAATTTTATCTCTTATTATATATCTTGAATCACTAGCAATAGATTTAATACTTGCTCAAAATATCTTGATGATTGGCATCTAGTTCAAGGTATTATCTTTGTGTGTGTTATAAACAATGCATTTGGTTATAATAAAAAAGTTTATAAAAAGTTTGCGAGATTTGCTTATATCCATGATTTAGCACACATAGATAATGTCAACTAATCTAAAGATAAAAAAATATTCCTTACTTTTATCTCATTAATATTCTTCACCCTCTTTCTCTCTCTATTATACTCTCTCTCTCTCTCTCTCTCTCTCTCTCTCTCTCACACACACACACACACACACACACACACACTCACTTATTCCAAACTTAAAAATGATTCCTTCATTGGCTCTATTTATCAAAGATAGAGGAAAGCCCATTGCCTCTTATATTTGACCACCTTAGTAGTCATCATCATATGTATTAGTTGTTCATTTTTTATTAGGATCTTTGATTGCCAAATAGCACCTCTGGCCATTCAAATTATTTTTCAAACAACAAACAAAGAAGTTACTCTATATCCACTAATGAAGAAAACTACCAACTTCTAATCACTTCACCAATCATTTCTTAGACATTCACTACTACACTTAATTGAATGAAGGAAAAGAAGAAGTGATTTCTTACAACTATTGATTTCTTTCCCATTAATAGAGCAACATATATGTGGTGGTAATTATGATAGATATGGTTTGCATATGATTGCAAGTTTACTAGCCACCAAATTTTAACATCAAAATAAGATTTGGTCGAAGTCTTAGACAAGCTTTTCGTTGATTTAAAGTAGCTTTGAAATCAAATTTGCATGAGAGAAACAAGGGAAGAGGTTGATCCAAAGATCTTCGAAACTTGTTATGTTGTAATCTGATAGAGCGGCGACACATGCATGTATGTATGTATGTACACATTTAAAGAATCCTGTGAAAAATCATCCAACCAATTATTTATCACTACCTATTTTAACCATTATAATAAATAGATGAAAACTATTTGTACAGTATTAAATGTTAGGTGTTTATCTATTACATTTTTTTTATAATACATATTCACATGACATAAAAAGCTTTAAGAAAAAATAAAGTGTTTAGAGTTAATCAAGGACTATGATCCAGACATTCAAAATCATTCAAGTGAAGCAAAAAGTCCCTATTAATGTTTTGAATGAAAATATATCATTACTACAAGATGTCCAATACCATGGAACCTCATTTAACAAGGGAATAGATAAAATTGCAACTATAAGGGATGAAATCAAAAGATTAAAAGATATTAGTGTTACTGAACCAAATGATTATTCAATCTACAAAACAAGAACCCAAAAAAAGACAAATAAGATGATGAATTCAACAAATTTATTGAATAAGAGAGATTAGGAAAAAAGATGAGAGTTTTTAATGTTAATAATGGTGGTTTTCTAAGATAAAATATAGTATCTATATATGTTTATAATTCTAAATTAAATTTGAAAATTTTACAAGAGGCATAGCATTCTAGCTATTTTATCAACCCTAAAAACATAAAATACTTTAAGATGTGAATGTGTTCTTCCAATAGTGTGGTATACAAAGGAAGATAACTAAGGCTTCGTTTGGGATGGCTTTTTTACTGCTTCTTGAAGCAGCTTTCAAGTATAAAAAAATTAATTTTTATACTAAAAAGCTACTTCAAAAAGCAGTAAAAAAATTGTCCCAAATGAAGCCTAAATTTTTAGAAATATGCCAAATAGTCATTTGACAGAAGTAAAGCAAGATTGTTACTGCCCATGGCTATAATTGAAAGGAAATAATAGGAAGAGTATACCAATTTATGGCATTTCATGTTTTTATTTTGAAATTATTATTATTTTTTCTATTCATTGTCTTATATCTATAATGTATGATGCCTATACAAATTTATACAAGTACAAGGTTTAAAGTGTTAAATTTCTACAAATAGTAGCATGATTATTCTATGAGTAGGCTTTATCAATATGAATGCATTCTTTTACATCAAAAGAATTTCCTTTTCAATGAAACAACTAATGTTAAATTTGTAAATCTTCTTTAATCATAGAAGTAATAGTTGTTTTTATCATATCAAAGAAAATAACAAGAGGGATAATCTTACTGAAAGGAGCAACACTGAGCATGCAATTTTCAATCAGCCAAGGGTGTAAAATTTATACTAAATTATTCATGATTCTCACTCCTTATAAATGCAATTTAATATCATTAATAGGTAATAAAAAACATTCATTTCTTGAAATATTAATATAATTAAAATCCTTTCATAAACAATTTAAATCAATAGGAGTTTTTACATGCTAGTATTCATTTTTTTAATGATTAAGAAAAGAGGTTTCAATTAAGGGACCATGAGAGTTATTTTCTCACATTAAGTTTCGGTACATAGTACATTTTGACAATAGCAATGAAATAAATGTATCTTTTATAAAGTTTTAATTTTTTTGTAGGCTGGTCATATCTAATCTATCAGAGACACTAATTGGCTACTTGAAAGCTATTTAATCACAAGAATAATCGATCCAAATATTTAACTAAGATTTTTTTTGGACAACTTTTATACTGCTTTCTAAAGGAGCTTTTTAGTACAAAAATTTTTAATTCAATAATATTTTTTACAAGAAAGCTGCTTTAGAATGCAGTAAGAAAGCTGTCCCAAATGAAACCTAATACTCAGTGATACTGAAGAATTCATTTGGGTATTGATCACACCATTATGAGGGTATGGACTTTGTAAGATTAAATCAAATCAAATTTCATTCAAATTTGATTAATTTAGATTTGACTCTAGAATGTTGATTCTCACTTAAGATTGTCGTTGGCAATAATGGGTGAAGAGAATAATTGGAGCAACAACATCATCTTCTTCTTTACATGACTCCCCTTTCTTTTTCAAGACTAATATCTTTGATCATATCTCAACCTTTGTAAATTGTAATCCTTCATATTTTCTCTTGAAACTTGTTATTATTATTCTATATTTGTGCATTCGTGGATATAGATTTAGGCTTCATTTAATATAGCTTACTTATTGCTTCTTAAATCAATTTTCTAACACGAAAATTTTATTCTCTGTTCGGGGCAGCTTTTTCTGTTTTTTTAAAGTAGCTTTTTAAGTACGAAAATTAAAAATTTTATACTAAGAAGCTACTTTAATTAGAAGCAATAAAAAAAAATCTCAAAACAAAATCTTAATTTTTATACTTTAAGAAACAATAAAAAAATCATACCAATTGAAATCTTATTTAAACTAAAATATTTACATAAATTTTGATGTTCTCATTTTACAATGATGATCTCACTTAATTATATAAAAAATGTTTAACTTATTTTGCTCCCATTTTATCTTCTCACTCGGAAAAAAAAAAAGTAATTTCCAAATATAACAAATAAAGAACAAAAATCTATTTGAGATTACATTTTATTAGCAAGCTTTGCAAGAAGCTAAGGAAAAGACCAATCTTTAATTAATTAATTATGAGAGTTAATTAATTTAACTAATTAAAAAAATTAAAAATTATTGACAAAATTTGCAATCGAATCCTACCTACATTAATTTCATATTTCGTTACTAATCATTCTAAAAAAAAAATCTAAGAATAATTAACTCTTATATAATAATTATATAAGGATCCAATGCCTTCTCGAATGGATCCATTAATATATATATACGTCGACTATAGACGGTGTAGATCATGTAATAAATGAAGAATGGACGGTGAGGATTAGAAGTTCTCCTTGTGGAAATCGAACTTCGTGTTCGTCCTGTGCGAAAAATCCTGCGACAGTTGCCGTAGCTCCTTCGTAAGGGTTGCAGCTCCGCAGTAGAATACTCCTGCAAAAGAAAAATTGCCTTATTTAGCATCAAAATAGTAATAATAATAATAAATATTATAACATTTAAAAAATGCAAACAAAAATATAAATTTTAGTCTATTTGTACAATATTTTATAAAATTAAATTATTAAAAAAAACAATTTCGTTATTATGATTATAAAAAAATAGTTTTTTATCACAATTTGTTTTACAAATTATTGAAAATATAACAAGAAAAAATATTTAAATAAACTTATGAATATAATAATTTTTGAAAAAATATTCACTAAGCTAAGCTAGCTGGCACGCGCTAAAAATAAAAAGTCAAAATATTCGTTAATAGATTATTTGGAATAAAGTCAACACCTAACGTACAAGCACTAAGAATTTCTCTGTTCCACGATCCCATCCACCACCTCTTGTCAGCGATGTTTGGGTACATGTGGGTCCCACTTAGGCAGAGAAGTGCGAAAAAATGGGTCCCACTTGTATAAGCTCTAAAGGCACCGCGATTTCATGAATTAAAGGTAAGCATCACATCATAAATGAAGAGTAAAACTTTGTGAGTTAAAAGATTCATAGTAGCTCATCCACTTTTAATGAGTTTTGATTATCAATTAAAAAAATCTAAAATTTGAGTAAATCTATTAGTTTATATTATTTGATTAAATTTTTATTTGAGATAATTTTGAAAATAATTTTTTAGTACATAATTTTTTATCATTTAAAAGAAAAATAAGAAAGTAATCTCAAATTAAATTTAAGAGTTAGTTGGGACAATTTTTTTACTGTTTTTTAGAATAGCTTTCTAATATATAAATTTTCATTTTTGTATTAAAATTTTATTTTAAAAAACAGTAAAAGAGAGGTCGTAGACAAAACCTAAATGTCCAAAAAGAATTTTAAAATTTTGGCATAAATTTTTTGTGAATGTTTAATTAAAAAGTAATAATTTTTTTGAAAATGGGATTTAAGAGAAAAGAAATATGGCTATAATCTAATTTTAGTTGATTTTATGATAAAATTATGACACCAATGATTCAAATAGTTAGAGTATTTTATAAAAAGAAACTCTAATAGTATTGCATGTGAGAAGAAATGAGAAAAGCGGAACATATCGTACTGAAAGATGTCAATACCTTTTTCTTGTAATAATTCAAATGTGGAGACCTAACATATATGCTTTTTTTTTTTTTAAGTTGACAGGAAAAGATAAATAATCTATTTAAAATGAATAAATTTTTATAAAGATAATTATAAAATTATCATGAAAAAATATTTTAAAAATAATAATTTTTCATCATAATTTTATTTAAAATAATGACAAATCAATAATCAAATAAAATTATAATTATAATTTAAAAAATAAAATAATAAAAAAACTATCTCAAACAAATTTTAAAAGTCCCAAACTATGAAATGAAAGCGATTTTTATAATTAGAATTATTAATATGTTAAAAAATAGTTATTTGATTTTTGGGAGATTTACATATATACCACTTAATACTATTCTATTTAATATTAATATTACATACATACCACTCATAGTTCATTTTCATATCAAATATGAGTGGTAGAAATGAAATATATGAGTGGATGGAAAGAAATATAAGTGGTATATTTGATATTAAAATAATATAGGGTGGTATGCATGTAATATTAAAATTTTAGGTGTTAGATATGTAAATAGGATGTTATAAAGTGGTATGTATGTAAATTTCCCTTGATTTTTTCTTAAAGAACATGCTTATAATATACACATCAATTTTTTTACTATTTCTAAAAATGAATTTTTTAATATAAAATTAAAAAACTACTTTAAAAAGTAATATGAAATAACTATTAAAAAGTTGCTCAGACATTTTTAAAATAAATATATTTATCTCTCTCATAGCAATCTAAAAAAATAATAATTTTAGCATATCATCTTCACAATCATCTTAATAAAAAAAACTTTACTAATTCCCAAACAAATCCTAAACCACACATTTCGAATAATATATTGTGTATCGACAAAAATGAAGGATAGGTAGCTTTGGACATTTTTATAATGCCATATAATTTTATTTAGATTTCGACAAAATTAGTATACATCTTTAACATTTTTAATTTAGCAAAATATATATTTGAATAATTTATCTTATCTCTTATCGCGTTTATAGATAAATCATATTATAAATTATCTATCAAATTTGATTCCTTGTAAAACATTTAAAACTATCATATACTGCTAAGGACAATATATATTAATAAATCCAAATTATTAATATTTTAATAATAAATTTTAACTCGTGCTAATTTTTTTTAATCCAATTCTTTTTAAGATAAATATTAAGCAAGAATATAAAAAAAAAAAAAGAAAAGGCAAGGAAGAAAAAAGGCGTACCAATACGTTGCCCTCGGTGATTGAGTGCGATGCGCTTGAACACATTGCGCCAATTAGGGCGAGCGAAATGGGACTTCACGCGAGTCCCAGAGACCACATCGACGCCATTTTTAGCATGATTGAGCGACTGAAGCATGGCGATAAGCGCAGAGCGAGCGTCGCCTTCCTCGTACACGCTCGTGCAGTAGTTATGCAGCTCGATCACTCCTTTCTTGTCCGTCTCCGCCACCTCATTCATCACTCCCCTGAACCACTCGAACGACCCCTGCTCGCGAGTCACCCAATAGAAATACGCTCGCCGGGTCCTAAAGGTCCGCCCAGACGAGACGTTTTGTCCGGCCTCGATGTCGTCGGCGACCCCCTCTGCTTCCACCATCTTCATATTATTAACGATGTCTTTCACGACGCTGATGAAGGGCGTGGCCCCGATGCCCAGTCCGACCAGCAAAACCACGTCGTATTTCTTGTAATCTTGCGCTGGCGCACCGTATGGTCCATCTATCAACACCTTCGGTAAGCTGTATTATAAGCCATATATAATATGTTCATCATCAAAATATATAAGATTCTACTCTCAAAAAAAAAAAAAAATATTGAATTTAGAGTGCAATGCAAAACTTATCTTAATATAAATTATGTCAAGATATCCTTTTAAAGTCATTTTAAGAAGCAATAGAAAGTTGTCCCAAACGAATTAAGCCCAAGTGAGGAGAGATTATTACGTGCGGTGTCTGGATTGTTCGGAGGCGAATCCGAACACATCATGTCACTTGGATGCAACTGGCCTCGGGTAACGTGGCGCGGCCGAATTTGCCTCTGAACGTTATATTAGGATATTTCTAATACAATTTATGAATTTATTTGGGACAGCTTTCTTATTGCTTTCTAAAGCATTTTTTGATATAAAATCTTCTTATATAAAAAGAATCTTATACTAAAAAGTTGTTTTATTAAGTAATATGAAAGCTATCTCCAATGAAGTCTATATTAGGATGGGCTAAAAAGCTATTGAATTTATTGTGAGATCAGCTAAATATAAGTTTTTTATATATATAGTAGTAATCCCAAAATAAATTGAATAAAAGGATCTCTTAGATGGTAAAGATTTGGGATATAAAATTTATTACCTTTGGTTGGGGCTCCGGTCGTCCATGTCGTCGTACTCAGCTCGAAGAAGTCCACTTTTGCCATCAGTTGGCCTTTGACACACCTAATTCGACCGATTCAGCAATAGAAAGCAACCCATCAGTATTCATTAACGCCTGTGATACCAAAATAAGTTGGCCTGGGCTTGGATCCTCACTCACCTCGGAAAATACCACCTTTAGCTGCCTGGTCCAGTCCCCCAGAGTCCGAATATGAACACTAACATAATCGTCCTGTGGCGCCGAAGTGATCGAAAATGGATGCCTATTCAATTCAATTCAAACAAAAAAAAAAATCATTTTTCATTAATTAAGATTTCAATCGAGAAAAAAATGAGACTTTGACTCTAAATCAAACTCAATAAAAAAAAAAGAGATTTTTATAGCCTATCTATGTAGTGGGATAAATATTTGATATTGTTAATTCTCCTTCATTTAGAAGGTCTTTCTTGCTACTTTTTAATCCAGCTTTTTAATATAAAAAATTTATTTTTATACTAAAAAGTTGCTTCCTCATAAAATCATCCCAAATGAAATCTTTTATTTATGATGATTTTTTAATTATTTTTATACGCCTACTATGTTAAAATGAATTACCATTCAAAGGGGGAGACTGCAGCACAGTTGACAAAAATATACTGGCCGCTCCGGTACCTAAAACCTTGAGGCTTCGATACATGAAGCGCCAGCACGTTGCCCGGGTACACCGCAATCTTCAAAATTTTAACGGCTCTGATGCTCGATCGAAACAGCCTGATCAGCCTCTCTGTCCCGTAGAGAATCACTGGAACCGCCAGGTACATCCATGTCTGTAACCACAAGCCCGGCCAGTTTATGAAGCTCATAATTAAAAATAAAAATCTATCTTATAATAACAATATGTGTCTGTATCTACATACCGTCTTGTGGTACCAATCCTTGCTGAGGTAGAGGAAGATCCCATGTATGATAAGGAGGATGTAGACGACGACGAACAAATGATGCGAGTACCAGAACGCGTTGAAGCCGGTCAGCCGCTTAAGCGGCCCGGGAAGGCTTAACCGACCGCGGCGGAACCACGGCGTCGCCAATGTGAAGGCGATCGCCATGAGCACAACCATCACAATCCCCGTCCACCCTTCCGTCCCCTTGACGAACCACCAGTAGTTGTTCGGCCTCGTGTCTCCAAAATAAGGCTTCATCGGCACGTACGCCTCGTCGCTGGCGTGCAGAAGCCGCGGAAAGTCGCAGGTCAGATGCGTAATGGCGTGCGTCCCGACGCCCAGAACTATGGCCACCGCAATCACTTTGTGGAAATTGAGATTATCGTCGAAGGGGACGACGCCGCCCAGCTTGGTCTTGTTGCGAAGCCAAGTAATGGTGTTGCGGCAAACGGGGAGGAGGATGATCGCCATGTTGAACTTGAGAGTTTCTGCAGCGCCTTTGGCGGCGCACACGCAGTAGCCCATGACGTGGTAGACGGCGCGGCGGCGGTATTGGACGAATTTCCAGGCGAAGAGGGCGGCGCAGATGGTGAGCCAGAGGGAAATCACCCATATTCGCTTCCAGTTGTCTTGGACGAAGTATTTGACGCTCTGGTAGTAGCGGCGGAGGGGATTGGGTTCCAGCGTCGGCTTTAGCTTCTGGCTGAGCAACTGGCTTAGATTCCGGCTGTTGGTTGTTCCGACACGCACCGATTGGTTTGGTGCTTGTAATAGAAGGGTTTCTAGATTGTATATCTGATGAAGAAGCCAATGATTGTAATATCAAGAGCGGTATTTATTTCCCAAAAAAAAAAAAAAAAGCATCTAAAATGGAACTCCAAACAACTGTTTGTCGTTATTCCGTCGCTTATAGGAGAACAGTGCGACGTCAATATTGGAGTCTCATTGTTCACCCGCTAAATTTTTATGTGTCAACGGGATTTGCCAGTGAAATGGAGAAAAACAGTTATGAGAAAAATGGAGTTCGGTTGGAGCAGAATTACCACATTTTGTTTTGAAGTGGAAAATTGGGTTTTCGGTTGGAGATGCTCTAACACCTCAAACTCAATAAAAAGTAGTATTTAACAGCTCAAATTCTTAAATAATGAGGTATTATCTATTTCGACTTAATGGCTTCATATTTTTATCCTCCCAATTCCAGAATTTCTCTGGCACGAGCATGGCTAACATTGGAATTTCTTAATGAAATTTCAACCATTACATCAAAAATACGTCAATATTTAAGAGTTTAGCTTCTTTTTATTGGAGGGATTTCACATAATAGAGCATTTTGATGTGAAATTGCGTTGAAATTAGGGGATTAGAAATTTGTGTGTACCTCGATGTATCCGAGATTACTAGGATCTAGTTCTTCCATGATCATCCGGGCGTATTCTTCGGCCTGGTCCTGGATCACTGAGAGTTTGTTGGCTGATGCGCTTAGGGTGATGATCTGCTCATATATGAAGGAGGAATGGGTAATTTGGTTAAAATTAATTAATACTTTTCCTAATTGCAAAAACTCTGAAGAGAAATGATAAAAACGTTAAGTTTAGAGTGGTTTCATTAATGCATTTCTTTTTTGTAACTTTATAGGAAAATAAATGATATAATATTTTAAGCTCCGTTTAATTTAAATTTGTAATTTTTTTTTATATTGATAGATAGTTTTTTTTATTATTTGTTTAACAGATACTAATGTTTAGATTATATAGTGTTAATAAATGTGGAAAATTAAAAAATTTATCATTAAGATTTCATTTAGAATTTTTTTGACTGCTTTTATATAAGGAAAAATAATCTGTAAAAATAAACTTTATATTTGAAAAATAAATTTTCAATTTATATTTTTAAAAATTTTATCTTTAAAAACAATTAAAAAATAATAATTTTGAAAACTCTAATCAATAAGCTAAATATTTTCCAACAAATCAAGCTTATATTTTCTCACCTCTTTGACTTCCTCTTCGGTTATCCTGCCATCAGCATTTTTGTCCACCCTGAAATAATTCCAATTGGCATTTCAAAGGGCTAATCTCTAAATAAAAATCTTGAATTTATCAATGAAGAAATATCTCCTTAGATAAAAAAAAAAAAAAAAAAAAAAAATCTAAGCGTTTATTTGGTTAAGAAAATGCGCGAGTAAAAAGATCATTAATTTACATGTCAAAGAAGGTTTGCAGCCGAGAGTCAAAGCTCTGATCGGAGATCTGTTCCCAAAACTCCCAAAGTTCAGCCTTTGTAATCGAATCTCCGACGATATTTCTTCTCCTAGCCAAAGCGTCGAATAGCTCCCCTGCAAATTCCTTGGAATCCTTCATCCCTGAACCAATTAGTAACATTCTTAGTTTCGATCACTGCCATTATTTGTTTCTTTATTACAGGCTGAAAAGGAAGAAGCTAGCCATACCTATGCACTGTCCGAACAGAGGCCGCGACAGCTTTCCATCCACAGCAAGCTCATCGAACCTCTTCTCCACGGCCGGCCACCCAGCCGCCCCACCAGCCGTCTTCGTAATGAACTTAAGCCCCTTGAGCGCATGCGCTGCCGCTGACTTAGACCGGTCGATTCTCCCCGGCCCGGTCCGCTTCGTCAGCGACGCGAGCCGCTTCAACTCCTGCGAAACCTGGCGGAACCTCGACGAAGCCGACCGGATGACCGACGAGCCCAGCGAGGAAGATTTCTTCTCCAGTGTCCGCGCGAGCAGCGTTACCTCCGGGTCTTCGATCTCGCCCCCCGCCGCCGCCTTCACGCTGTGCACTGCCACCGAGTCGTCGCGCACGTCGAGCGTGATTTCCACATACGCGTCGTCGTCCGCCGCGGAAGTCCCCGCTATCGTCGACTCCGGTATGTTGAACCGCGCGCTCTTCTTTCCGCCCTTCCGGTTAAGCGGACCGCTCAACGGTCCGCTATAGGCCACTCGGTCGCTGCCGACACTCTCCGTCTCCACCATGTCGGAGTGGTATCCGTCTTCGGAGCCGCCCAATCTCTTCATTTGGTGAGTATAAGACGTTCGAGGAAGAAGAAGATGAGCTGGTTATTGCCGATATGCTCTGGGGAAGGGAGGGGAGTTGGTGTGAATTATATAGTGAGATAGTATAAAAAAATGAGCTTTTTGACCAGGGACGCCTTCCGGGTAGGGGAGCGGTCCGCTGTTGAGGTTCTGGAAGGAGAGTAGAAAAAGAGGAGTTGAGTGGAATTGTGGTGGTCTGACGGCCGTAACGCCGAGATGTATAATGTACATTGCATCGCATGTGAGGGATTGTGAAAAATTGCAAATTGCCGTCGTTATTTGACCAGGAGAGCGCGTAGGAATTTAGGCGACTTTAGTTTTTGTTTTTGTTCTTCTTTTCCTTTTACGGGCTTTTAGTTTTTGTAATAATCTTACTTCTTTTAAGGACATTGAGGCCGATTAAATTTTGTTTTTTTTTTATATATTTGGTTCATTTATTATGGAGCAAAGCACAAGCATATTACAATTAACAAGCTATGTTGATCAACATTTGTGAATTCAAATGTATAAAATATGGGATTCAAGATAAGCCGTACGATTTAAACTAAATTAAGCCGGTTCAAGCAAAGTTAATTCGATCAATTCAGATTCAACTCAAAAGAGATTTGTCAGTTTATAATATAAGTCACCTCAAGTGAGTGACTATATAATCTTAGAATTGGTTCTAGTCTGACGAGTGTAGCCTATTAGTCGTGTCCATAACGATTTCTATCTATAAAGTCGTTCCTAGTGACGACTTAATAAAAATGATTTGTACAACTAATGTATTTTTATCTTATGTTTTGTATAACTATGTATGTAGTCAATTCTTAATGCTCAAGCTCCAATGCAAATGTATAAATAAGGGGTTGAGGTGTGAGCTTAGTTTACACAATTTTGGATAATTTGTCTATAAGATGCAATTATGTACTCAAGCTTATTTTATTGGAATCTCAGAGTTTATTACTCTAGAATTATTCATTATTTATCTTTTTGGCTATTTTTTGACTTAACATTTTCAATATAGTTTCGTGTGATTTAATTTAAAGACAATTCCAATTAAACATCCTAAAATGTGTGATTATCGTGAAGCATGCCATTAACAAGATGAAGAATATTATGTCTAACATAATAAAAAATAAAAAGGTGAGATGAATCAACAAAAATGAATGATGCATCACCAAAGATCGTCTTGATCGGGAAAGAATCGCGAGGCATTTTTTTATTAAAAACTTCCAATATTCAATTTATTGCCATTTGAAAACTAATTATAGCAAACATGTAATCGAACTGAACGTCTTAATTAAACGAATCCAATGAAACCAAATATATAGTCCAATTTGAGCATGAATGGACCCAAATTAGGGGTCTAAATCACATTTTAAAATATCAGGGCATTAATCAAATGACCAATTGATCTTCAAATTTTCCATGCTTATAGTTGAATCGAATGACTCAACAAGTTGAATCCAACGTGCCCAATATTGCTTAATTACAACATCATTAATGGCTTAAATGTTAAATAGACAATCTATGATTGAGAGAATCAATATGGTCCATCCAATAGAGTACTCTAGATTTTTTTTTTTTATATTTATAGGGCATGCCACTCCCAAAAATTTATAAATATGTCTCCACTCTCTACATGATGGGAACCATTAGCTAAAGATTCAAGAGAGCTTAAAGGCTTGAGATATCTCATAGCTCCACCTGGGCATAACCGCCAGTAAACCCTTCGTTTCTCGATTGTTGCAGGCCAACGATCATCATCAAACCTCCAATGCCTGACATCCATTGTTGGACCTTCGCCCGACCATTTTCACTAGGCTACTATCGTCGAACTAATACTCCGACAAGGTTAAAAGAGACGACATGTAGTTATGATTCGATCCACATCAATAACAGGTAAAAAACCAATCTAATGCAATAATGCATTTTTAAATATCATAGAATTAGAACTTTTAAAAAAATAATGAATTTACTTTTTGCATTTGAAACTTTTTAACTTATTATGCACCACCCACTTCAAATTATCAGGCTAGATAAATTTAACAGTTTGGTAGAAAGGTGAACCTAAGAAATTTTTTATATTTTTCGTGGCATCAAGACTTTTCTCATCATTATATTACTTGATATAACACGTGCACTTATGTTAAATAAGACTTACATATTAGCAAATTAAACTATCTTTAAAGAACTAAATGTTATGTGTAAGCTAAGGCACTAAGCTCTGCATTTGCATAACTAACAGTTAGCCTCTTATGTATCATATATCATGTGTATATAATTTATATCAGTATCATGCATCATATGTGTCATATAGTAGTCTAATGTATCTTATATATCATGTATGTCAATGTTAAGCCTCGAGATTTATAGTGGAAGATTTGCCTCTATTTTTCATTTTAGCCATTTAACTAGAGCGTTTTGGTTTCTTAACTTTTGCAGGATTCTTATCATTTCCTGAAAATATATAAAATAATGTAATGAACATATAGCCCAACAAATAACCAAAATTTTATAACTGAAATCAATACAAGGTAAAAGAGAATAATATGCTTTAAATCATAAGAGGAAATATATATATATATATATATATATATATATCAATATCTATTATATGTACCACTCATTAATAGGTCTATAATATATCACACATCATAATTAGTTTGTCAATATTTAATCATAAAACTCCAATTAATCAATCAATCGATCTATAATATCAATTAATTAATAAATAAGTCATTTACATAATAAGTCAACTATAGTCACTATGTTAGAATAGTAACCAATATCAGTACTAAATTAGTATCGATAATAATAATTGTAATAGTGCCAGGACCATATAAATAATTATTGCAATCCTAATTTAAGCATTATGATTTTGATGATAACAAATATTATTGTGTAAGATACTATTTTATCTTATTTATGTGATATTTTGTTTTATTTTTGTGAGTACTAATATTTCAGGAAATGACTCCACTGATCACTTGTCATTATGATCAGCTCAAGACTGGAAAGACTAGGGTTATAGTTAAATTTTATTTTATAATGTATTTTTTCCTTTCTTCTGTTATATCATGTAGTTGAGTGGATATCATTGCTGAGTAACCTTGCACACATATATGGGGAGAGATAAAAATATTTTTGAGAGAGTTTTGTTTTTTAAGAAATTTGTACTATATGATTTTATCTTCGTACTATACAATTTGATTTTATAATGTATGATTTTAATTCATAATGTATGATCTGTTGTACTCTGTCAAAATCTTAATTGCTAGAGGTTAAGGAAGATACTAATTATATGCTGATCATAACATACAATTTAGTTTATTCTTTATACCATAATTAAAATCTTTCTTAATTAATCTCCCGATACAAGCAATCAAATCATGGATAATTATTGTGACCAATTGTACTATATGATGTAGTTCATACTATACGATTACCCATGTATGAAATTGGCCGTCTTAGATATTTTATCAAATGAAATCCATGATTTTTGTACTAATCATATCATATGATGTACACGGTCTTTAAAGATAGCCCATGTACGAGGTTGGCCGTCCGAAGGATCAACCCAAATGAATAGAAAGAATTTTTGTAGTTTATATCATATGATGTTATGATTGTACTGTACAAAAATGTATAAAAGTTGAACAGTTCATCTGAACGATCTTGTTGGATGAGTCTGGATTACACTAATAGTATTGTATGATACGTGTATCATATTATATGAGCAGAATATAGATCTCTTGAAAATTAGGATTTTTTTAAACCCACTACTTAAGCTTTTCTAATACTCTTATCATAAAATCTTTGCCTGTTGAGACTTTAGGAGAAAGAGCTTTGAGGGCGAAAAGAATGAGTGCTTTGCGAGAGAAGAGAGGGAGATTTTGTGAGGGAGAAGTTGTAAGGGAATTCACAAGGTTGTTTTAAGTAAAAATCTTGCCTAATATTTACAAGTGTTTACTTGGATTCTCTGTGGCTCTGGAGAAGAAGTTATTCTATAAAGATCATGGTTTTTTAATCATTACCACGAAGCTGAAAATAGAGTTGTGGTTCTCTGACCAACACTAGAAGGGTGAAAATAGAGTTGTGGTTCTCTAACCATCAACAGGAGGCTGAAAATAGAGTTGAGGTTCATTTCCTATAAAAGAGTCACGATTCTCTACCACACCGGGGAGGTAAAATAGCGTCTGTACAGGCTTCTTTGTCTTATTGTTGGAGCAAAAGGAGAGTCACTACTATTTAATATAGTACTTGGAGAAGCAGTCTCTAAGAAGTGGATGTAGGTCAGGTTGACTAAATCACTATAAATGTTTGTGTGTTCATTCTAGTTATTTTCTGTACTTTATTTTCTGCAATTATATGCATGGATGAAAAATCTTTTTCTGTTTTCATTGTTGAGAAATTTACCCTTTCTGTATCTGATGTATCGATTATCGTGTGTGAGTTTGAAAAGTTTTTAAAGTTCTTTTCACTATTTTTTTAAATAATCAATTTATCACTCTCTTGGTTAGTCTCGGGCTAGTTCATTAGGGTTTCACAACCCTCACGCACTTTTGAGTGTTATCAGAGAAAGATTCAAAAGCAAAGTTTTAGAAAATTTTAAAAAATAATTAATGGCTAACTTTGAAAATCAAAATACTGTAGAAGGATATTCAATCACACGACCACCTCTATTTGATAATAAATTTTTTTTATTTTTGAAAAATTTGCATGTCCACTTTCTTACAATTGATGAATTTTTGTTAGTTTAAGAGGGATATTCTACACCTTCATGTTTAGTAAACAATGTTAAACTGGCATACCTTTTTTTGAATGGAGTACTAATGATAGAGATTTAGTTTAATTGAATACTAAATGTCTAAATTGTTTCTTTTATGCTTTGAAATTTGAAAATTACATTTGCCTTTCTACTTGCACAACTGGCAAGGAAATTTGGGTCATATTATGTATTACTTACGAAGGAACAAGTGAAGTGAAACAATCTAGGTTAAATTTTTGGCTCCATGAATATGAACTCTTTAACATGAAACCTAGTGAATATATATCTGAAATGTATACTAGGTTTATACAAATCATCATATTTCTGTATGCTTTAGGTAAAGAATTAGCAAATTCTGAAAAAGTAAATAAGATTCTACGTTGTTTACCTTCTTCCTATGATGCAAAAATTATTGCTATTACTGAATCCAAGGATCTAAATATTTATTCTATTGATAACTTACTTGGATCACTTATTTTCTATGAGCAAGGAGTAAGC